TGCCTGCATGTCCCCCCAGCTGAGCGGCGGGAGTGGTCCCTCGGAGGCTCCCGCTGCTCAGCTGGGGGAAAACGGTGCCTATGGGGAAAAATCGCAAAGCGATTTTTCCCCATAGGTAAGATCGTAATGCGATTGCAAAACCGATGGCAAAAAAGCCATCGCTATGCGATTTCATCGTTAAACGAGGCACTACTGTAGTTGGGGCATTCTTTGGGACTGCCCTTCTTTGGGATTGGGATGGAGACTGATCTTTTCGAATCCTCTGGCCACTGCTGAGTTTTCCAAACTTGCTGGCATATTGAATGTAGCACCTTACCAGCATCATCTTTTAAGATTTTAAATAGTTCAACTGGAATGCCATCACCTCCACTGGCCTTGTTGTTAGCGAGGCTTTCTAAGGCCCACTTGACCTCACTCTCCAGGATGTCTGGCTCAAGGTCAGCAACCACATTATTTGGGTTGTCCGGGATATCCAAATCTTTCTGGTATAATTCCTGTGTATTCTTGCCACCTCTTCTTGATGTCTTCTGCTGCTGTTAGGTCCCTCCCATTTTTGTCCTTTATCATGTCCATCTTTGCACAAAAGGTTCCTCTAATATCTCCAATTTTCCTGAACAGATCTCTGGTTTTTCCTTTTCTATTATTTTCCTCTATGCACTGTTCATTTATGAAGGCCCTCTTGTCTCTCCTTGCTATTCTTTAGAAGTCTGCATTCAATTTTCTGTAACTTTCCCTATCTCCCTTGCATTTGGTTTCCCTTCTCTTCTCTGCTATTTCTAAGGCATTGTTGGACAGCCACTTTGCTTTCTTGCATTTCCTTTTCTTTGGGATGGATTTTGCTATGAGAAGCTGATGATCAGAGCAAAGTGGATGGAAACTCACAAAAGCTCACATGGAAATGAATTTGCTATGCTTAAAGATGCAATTGCCTTTAACTTCAATGCGATTGCACAGGTCTGAGAGAAATTAAATGTAGGAAATATCAATTAACAATTACATTCATATGTACACCACAGTATACCTGTATTTATTCTTGCAACATCTACAAAAGAACTAGCAAAAACATATCCAAGAGAAGCACCTGACAGAACTGTGTGCCTAATGTAGCAGCTGAGGATTGTGGAAGATCGTGTGGAGGTGAGGACAAATACGGGTTTGTTGTTGCCTGCCCTGCATTTATCACTGCACAAAGAGCTACGAGTCTGTGAATGCACAGCCATAATAATAGCAGAGTACTGTGGCTGTAACAGCCTTTTGACTGGACAGCAAGTGGGTATTTCCATCTGGTCGAAAACCTCTCTGCAGCCCCTCAAGTCTCTTTCTCTTTCTTAAACACTGAGGCGAGCTCAGGGAAGTGACACTACACAGCATGAATATTGGAACAGTGGCTTGGTTTACCAGATTGATCCATCTCAACAAAATGATCAAGATGTTTTCTTTGTATACCTTCCTTGTTCAGTGGTTTCCTCACAACATACTGACGAACATCATCTTCTTTGGACAGATTAAACAGCTTCCGAATTCTGCTAGCCCTCTTAGGACCCAGGCGACGAGGCACGGTGGTGTCAGTCAGGCCAGGAATATCTTTTTCACCTTGAGAAGTTGACAGACAGAGCAAGTATTAAGTCTTAGCAAAAGTTACACTTGAAAGCCAGACTCCTCTCCTAAAACGTTTGACATCTACACTTTTAGATTCTATCCTTTATTCAGTCAAGTATCTTAAAACAAGGCAAGTGGAAATCTGAGTCACCAGTCTTCATTATCTCTCTCTCTTTCTATAGAATTTCATGTAGCCTAGATTTTTTGCCCCGCTCCATGGGCAGCAACAAAAACTAAGCTCAAAACAAGGCCTGGCCCATGATAATTTAGTTATGTACATTTGCAACCAGGTCATTCCTTAGATCACAATTAAAATCCAAGCTTTTACGAACTCAACTACAGTTAAGAAGCAACAATTCTAAAATTCTCCAAGAGACGAAGCAGATATATTTGTAGGGCATCTTCCAATTACTATCTGTATATTCTTGTCACAGTCTTGGTGTCCAGATCGCTGACTAATTCTTGTATTAGTTAAGCTATCTTGTCTCTTAGCTGTGGTAACAGCTAAGCCAATAGTTATTTGAAGCAGAATGATACTCTCAGAGAGGAGTCAACACATAGCTGTTCAACAAGCAGTGCTATTCACTGCATGATTAATTTCAAAAACTCATTTGTATATAAGTCTTCTGGATTCCATACCAATTACATCTACTGAATGGACTGCACCAAATCACTAACAAGATGCTACAGACCACACTACCAGAAACATAACTACATCAAAGAGTAGAATTGACTCTCCAAAGTAATGCATAGTTTAAACATGCTGGCACCTATTAACTGTAAGTTAATAGCTCAGTTTCCATTTGCAGTCTATAACAAATTATGCTGCAAGCTCCTTTCACTGGGAGCTGTTTGTTCCTCATGCTACTCTGTAAAAATACTTTGTTGATCCTATACAAAGAATAGCTAAAACAGATACCATAAAGACAGGTAGGGCATAATTCCAAAATATTTACTACAAGAAATATTTCAGACTATAACAGAGTTCTGCTTCTCACATACTCCCACTTCATACAGAGAAACCTACTGTATTTTTCGCTCCATAAGACGCACTCCCCCCCAAAAGTGGGGGGAAGTATGTGTGTCTTATGAAGCGAATACTGTAAAAAAATTTAAAGTGACAGAAGAAGGAGAGATGGAACAGCACGACACAGAGGAATGGATAGAGGAGAGGGAGGAGTCACAAAAGGGGGAGAAGATGGGGATAAACGTTTTTCTCATGAGGAGGGAGGAAAAGACATATGGGAGGAAAGTGATTCGGGGGAAGAAAAGGTGTTTAGAGTGCTGGAAAAACAGCTGCTAAAACTGCCCGCCTGGGTCCTCAAAGCTCTGTCCCCCTTGCCTTTTCCAAGGCAGCCACAAGGTCCACAAGCTGAACAGTGAAGCTTTCCCTATGAAGGAGGAAGTCAGGGGGAGAGCAACCTTATATGCCCTCCGGTTCACCCCTCCTCTCAAGTCTCATGGTCTCGCGTGCCATCCGGGGAAGCAGGGCAAAGGCACGCCTCGCTGCTGGAGCCCTGGCCCTGCATCATTCTCACGAGAGAGGGAGGACAGTTGAAAGAAATGGAAAGAGTGATGTTAAGGAAAGACGTATGGGAGGAAAGTGATCCGGGGAAGAAAAGGTGTTTAGAGTGCCGGGAAAGGAGGGGAAATCATGCCGCCTGACTTCCTCCCCACCCCTACAAACACACACACACACCCCTTCACCTCCAATGGCGCCTCAAATGCAAGGTGTGTCTTATAAGCAAGTGCATCTTATGAAGCAAAAAATAAGGTACCTTTTTTCACAATGACCAAGTTCAAGACGCTTAAGTTGGCATCAACGATGCAGCCCCGAACAGATTTGCGTTTCCGTTCTCCGGTTCTCCTTGGGCGGTAACATGAGTGGCCCTTACTGAGTAGCAGGCGGACACGGCCATGTGTGAGGACCCCCTGCTTCATGGGGAAGCCTTGCTTGTCGTTACCACCGCTGATACGGACAACATATCCCTAAAACAAAGCAGAGCTTAGACCTCACTCTAAAGACCACTTTTTAAAGCCTCGCTCTTGATTTTTCAGTTCTTCAGCTGCATATAGTGCATGTTCCCTAAAGGGAACCTGACTTATATCTTGCCCTGTTTCAGTTTGAACAGCAATAACTGGACATCCTCCACCATTCCTTCACGTATGATGCCCAGGACTAGGACAGCACTACTCTGTTTTCATTCCAGTCAATTAGTACACTCACATACACTGTACTCACATACACTGTAAACTCTGTTGTGAATACTGAGAAGCATTCAAGTAAAGTAAATTTGATTATTTTTTTTTTGTTTTCCATTTTCACATGGAAAACGTTTCTAGAGCTCAAAAGTGACAGTCTCTCAGAGCATTTCCATGGAATTTTTGTTTATTACAACCATGAGGGTTCCGTCCCTCCTTATGTTCAATAAATTGTTGAAAACAGAACTATTCAAAGCTGCCTTCAAAAACAGTCTCTCAGATACTGTTAATATTTTTTTGTTTTCCCTTTTATGATTTTTTAAATTGCCATTTTGTTCATTGTATGAATTGCTATGTTGGGTTTGCAATATTTTTAAATTTTAATTTGTAAACCGCCCAAAGTAGAGTGTGCACTAATGGGGCAATATATAAAGCAATCAAACAAACATCTTGCAGCATCTTGAATACTAACCAGTTTTATTGGTTTTCATTTTTAAGGATGTAATTTCACTTCCTTGCATGAGCTCAAAAACACAAAAGCTCATGCCATGTAAAACTGATTAGCCTTTATCTACCAAAGGACTCTGTTGCTTTTGCTGCAACCTACCTATCCTTCTAGAAATGTTCGTAATCACAGCTCCATTTCTGATTTGTGGACATGAAGCCCTGAATAAGCAAAGCAGCTCTGATGAAATGAAGTATATTCCAAACTCATCTAAGTAGCTTCTTCAGTCTGAGGAGAGTTGGTAGGAGACCCCCATATATCCTCCATGTTGGTTTCACTTCCTCCTGGTCTGAATAGCCTCATTAGATGGACAAAGGACTGGGTGAAAATCCCACATGACAATGGGTGGAGGACTCACCCCCCCCCAGTCCTTTGTCCATCTAATGAGGCTATTCAGACCAGGAGGAAGTGAAACCAACATGGAGGATATATGGGGGTCTCCTACCAACTCTCCTCAGACTGAAGCCACCTGAATAAGCAGCGAAACATTTCACCCTAATAAGAAGTCCAGTTGCCATGATTCAACTTCCAAATAACCTCACTTGGATGACTGAGAATCTTCACAGATAAACAGAAGTGTGATTTTATATTCATTTGGTTTTTGAAGCTTCCTATTCTCAGGAGAAAACCCTTTCCACATCAAATCTATTTACATAAAACAGAAGCTCCTGAACTTATTCTTAGAAAAGGAATTGCTCCAAAAGAATTAACTGTAGTCTAGGTTTCAACCTTTGGCTCTCCAGGTACTCTTAGACTTCAATTCCCAGATATCCCAGTAAACACACACCACTGCCAAGAGAGTCTGTGAATTGTAGCCTAAAATGTTTGAAGGACAGAAATTGAGCACTACAGATGCAGAAACCACCTAACCCTCTCCTGGGATACTTACTGGAAGGAACACTCAAAAACAAGAAACCATCTATAACCCTTGTTATTATTACTGGTGACACGCTAAATCAGCATGGGGTTCCCTGAACAGTTTGAAAGCCACCACTATACATACAGCCTGCAAATACATGGACAATCAGCGAATAGTTAATTCAAGCAAAACAAATTCTGTTTCTCCTAATCCCTTTCCCCCTCACTTCAGGAAAGACTTATTAACAGATAAACTGTCATTTCTCCAGCAACAGTTAATCCATTTCAAAAATTAGTATTGAGGTAGTAAATTTTAAGTACAAGCTGAGTAGCACAATAACCCAGCCAGCAACTATCACACTTCCCTTTTTCATCATTTTAAAGTCATGTCAAAGGAGGTAAACTAACACCAGCCCTTCACATATTGTTGAACAGAATTATCACACACTGGTTAGAGCTGATGGAAGAGGTGCAATCCAACATATGGGGAACTCCACCCCTTTTCTCACACATTCCAGATCACTTGCTCAGCAATATCTTGAATTACCCACCCCCATGATTACAGTATGTTCCAACTGCCAGTTGGAAAATCTGTGTGCAATTATGCGTATGCAACCTATTGTGTCATCCACATGGAGTAGGTGTGTAGCACTAGAGATGAAGGATAGGAACACTGATCTAGCCTTTTTTCTAAGAAACAGAAAACAAAATATTATTAAAAAGGAACAGTAAGAAAGAGCCCTGTTTTTTCCAGATCCATGGAACAACAAGAGTACAATCATTAAACAAATTCAAAGCCTCTGAGGGTCGAGGAAGGGTCAAGCCACGGCTCAGTGGCACAATTAAAGATAATGCAGATGTGCACTTTCCAGCTACAGATCCAGTAAGTCTCTGGGCAGGAGAATTATAGAAACAGTATCCCAACAGCACAAATTTGCACTTAGACGAAACACACAAACTGAATGCAGAACTTCTCGGGTCGTCAACCTCCCCAACCAAGGGGAGTCAGCAGCAGTAAAAACCCCGGCAGATCTACGCGATAGATGGCTATCTGCTGGAAAAGCCGACAGGGCCTTACCTTCCATTCCTCGCCAAGAGCATCTGCGGAGACTTCCGCGGTCATCCGCTTCTCGTAGAAGACGCGGAGCTTCCGCTCATCATCCACCTCGATGAGCTTCTGGCAGCCCGTGGCCGGGAAGGAGATGTTCAGCTAGAAAGCAACCATGCAATGAAAGAATGCAGGAGCCAGCTCACCGGGAGCTCCAAGGCGAAAACAAGATCTGGGCCGGTAGCTGCAGCTCGCCATCCACGAGGCCCAGGAGCCCGCAACCCCCCTCCGCTACCCAATCCGCCTCCATCCGCTCCCAGAGGAACGTCCCTGCCTTGTCGCCTCCAGCCACGAGCCCCCTAAGCGACGACGGGATTAACTGTGGAGGTCCAGAGGAGCCGTTGCCAGGATCCTTCTCAAAATCCCTACCTTCATAGCAGCGCTGCGTCCAACCGCTTCGGGTCCACCACGGGAAAGAGGCCGCACTTCCGCCAAGCCGGAAATCACATAAGCTCCGCAAGATCTCGCGAGAGTGAATTGAAAGAAGCGCCTGTCGGCCTGCTTGATTTCCGACGAGACGAGAGAAGGGGCGAAAACTTCCTAGAGCGGCATTGATGTGTTCCGGGGACCGTGATTCTTTAAATCCTATTCTTTTCTCGCGCGCGCAATCCTTCGCGAGTCGACTGTGAGAACAATAGCAGGAATTCCGGATTTTAGCGTAGGAGCCGGTGTGACCTGGACCAGGGTTCCTGCTTTGTGTCTCATGGGTTCATATGGAAAGTTATACCAATGGAGAAAATAGGTAAAAAGCAGCAGAACTTGAGAAGCTGTTATTTATTCATTCTTTATTATGCAATCATAAACCTGAGTTAAAACAATACAGTAATAGGAACAAGATAAAAATTAAATATTAAAGCATACACATATTTAGAAAAAGTAGATTAATAAAGCCTTTTAATGAAATCTTGTAACAGAAAACTGTTGCTGGAGGAGGCTCTTGAGAGTCCCCTGGACTGCAAGAACAAACCTATCCATTCTAAAGGAAATCAATCCTGAGTGCTCACTGGAAGGACAGATCCTGAAGCTGAGGCACCAATACTTTGGCCATCTCATGAGAAGAGAAGACTCCCTGGAAAAGACCCTGATGTTGGGAAAGTGTGAGGGCAAGAGGAGAAGGGGACGACAGAGGATGGTTGGACAGTGTCACTGAAGCTACCAAGATGAATTTGACCCAACTCTGGGAGGCAGTGGAAGACAGGAGGGCCTGGCGTGCTCTGGTCCATGGGGTCACAAAGAGTTGTACATGACTAAACAACAACAACTGTGACTGTTTGGTTAATTTTAAAATCATTACCAAAGGCACAGCTGTGCTAGTCTGTTGTCTGTTTCATCAAAAACAAGGAACAGTTGTCTGGCCCTATAAGACAAAGACATTTTATTTTGGCATTGGTATAGGTTTTTGTAGACTAAATTATTTGTGTATTCACGAAGGCTTTCATGGCCGGGATCTAATGGTTGTTGTGGGTTTTTTGGGGTCTTTGGCTGTGTTCTGAAGGTTGTTCTTCCTAATGTTTCACCAGTCTCTGTGCCCGGCATCTTCAGAGGACAGCACTCTGTGCTCAAGTAAATTACAGTGGTGCCTCGCTTAGCGATTGCTTCGTTTAACGATGAAATTGCTTAGCGATGATCTTGCGCTCCGTTTAACGATGTTTCCTATGGGCGATTTTCGCATAGCGATGTTTGGGACCATGCTTCGCATAGCGATGACAGTTTGGGTACCCCTGTTTTGCTTAACGATGGTTTTGACAGCCTCATGTTGGCTGTTTTTTAAATGTTTAAAAATGTTTTAAAATGTTTAGAATGCTTGAAATCATAAGTGCACTTAATAAACCCTTTGTTAAACTAATTTGACTTTGTTCCGACTCTTTTTAAATTTGTTGTAATTTTTTCCACATGGAGTAGGTGTGTAGCACTAGAGATGAAGGATAGGAACACTGATCTAGCCTTTTTTCTAAGAAACAGAAAACAAAATATTATTAAAAAGGAACAGTAAGAAAGAGCCCTGTTTTTTCCAGATCCATGGAACAACAAGAGTACAATCATTAAACAAATTCAAAGCCTCTGAGGGTCGAGGAAGGGTCAAGCCACGGCTCAGTGGCACAATTAAAGATAATGCAGATGTGCACTTTCCAGCTACAGATCCAGTAAGTCTCTGGGCAGGAGAATTATAGAAACAGTATCCCAACAGCACAAATTTGCACTTAGACGAAACACACAAACTGAATGCAGAACTTCTCGGGTCGTCAACCTCCCCAACCAAGGGGAGTCAGCAGCAGTAAAAACCCCGGCAGATCTACGCGATAGATGGCTATCTGCTGGAAAAGCCGACAGGGCCTTACCTTCCATTCCTCGCCAAGAGCATCTGCGGAGACTTCCGCGGTCATCCGCTTCTCGTAGAAGACGCGGAGCTTCCGCTCATCATCCACCTCGATGAGCTTCTGGCAGCCCGTGGCCGGGAAGGAGATGTTCAGCTAGAAAGCAACCATGCAATGAAAGAATGCAGGAGCCAGCTCACCGGGAGCTCCAAGGCGAAAACAAGATCTGGGCCGGTAGCTGCAGCTCGCCATCCACGAGGCCCAGGAGCCCGCAACCCCCCTCCGCTACCCAATCCGCCTCCATCCGCTCCCAGAGGAACGTCCCTGCCTTGTCGCCTCCAGCCACGAGCCCCCTAAGCGACGACGGGATTAACTGTGGAGGTCCAGAGGAGCCGTTGCCAGGATCCTTCTCAAAATCCCTACCTTCATAGCAGCGCTGCGTCCAACCGCTTCGGGTCCACCACGGGAAAGAGGCCGCACTTCCGCCAAGCCGGAAATCACATAAGCTCCGCAAGATCTCGCGAGAGTGAATTGAAAGAAGCGCCTGTCGGCCTGCTTGATTTCCGACGAGACGAGAGAAGGGGCGAAAACTTCCTAGAGCGGCATTGATGTGTTCCGGGGACCGTGATTCTTTAAATCCTATTCTTTTCTCGCGCGCGCAATCCTTCGCGAGTCGACTGTGAGAACAATAGCAGGAATTCCGGATTTTAGCGTAGGAGCCGGTGTGACCTGGACCAGGGTTCCTGCTTTGTGTCTCATGGGTTCATATGGAAAGTTATACCAATGGAGAAAATAGGTAAAAAGCAGCAGAACTTGAGAAGCTGTTATTTATTCATTCTTTATTATGCAATCATAAACCTGAGTTAAAACAATACAGTAATAGGAACAAGATAAAAATTAAATATTAAAGCATACACATATTTAGAAAAAGTAGATTAATAAAGCCTTTTAATGAAATCTTGTAACAGAAAACTGTTGCTGGAGGAGGCTCTTGAGAGTCCCCTGGACTGCAAGAACAAACCTATCCATTCTAAAGGAAATCAATCCTGAGTGCTCACTGGAAGGACAGATCCTGAAGCTGAGGCACCAATACTTTGGCCATCTCATGAGAAGAGAAGACTCCCTGGAAAAGACCCTGATGTTGGGAAAGTGTGAGGGCAAGAGGAGAAGGGGACGACAGAGGATGGTTGGACAGTGTCACTGAAGCTACCAAGATGAATTTGACCCAACTCTGGGAGGCAGTGGAAGACAGGAGGGCCTGGCGTGCTCTGGTCCATGGGGTCACAAAGAGTTGTACATGACTAAACAACAACAACTGTGACTGTTTGGTTAATTTTAAAATCATTACCAAAGGCACAGCTGTGCTAGTCTGTTGTCTGTTTCATCAAAAACAAGGAACAGTTGTCTGGCCCTATAAGACAAAGACATTTTATTTTGGCATTGGTATAGGTTTTTGTAGACTAAATTATTTGTGTATTCACGAAGGCTTTCATGGCCGGGATCTAATGGTTGTTGTGGGTTTTTTGGGGTCTTTGGCTGTGTTCTGAAGGTTGTTCTTCCTAATGTTTCACCAGTCTCTGTGCCCGGCATCTTCAGAGGACAGCACTCTGTGCTCAAGTAAATTACAGTGGTGCCTCGCTTAGCGATTGCTTCGTTTAACGATGAAATTGCTTAGCGATGATCTTGCGCTCCGTTTAACGATGTTTCCTATGGGCGATTTTCGCATAGCGATGTTTGGGACCATGCTTCGCATAGCGATGACAGTTTGGGTACCCCTGTTTTGCTTAACGATGGTTTTGACAGCCTCATGTTGGCTGTTTTTTAAATGTTTAAAAATGTTTTAAAATGTTTAGAATGCTTGAAATCATAAGTGCACTTAATAAACCCTTTGTTAAACTATTTGACTTTGTTCCAACTCTTTTTAAATTTGTTGTAATTTTTTCCTCCATTGAGATGCATTGAATAGGTTTCAATGCATTTCAATTGGGGAACCGTGTTTCGCTTAGCGATGTTTCTTATGGCGATTTTCACTTAAGGACGGCAATCCGTTCCCATTGGAACGGATTATCCGGTTTTCAGTGCATTTCTATGGGAACCCGTGTTTCGCTTAGCAATGAAATCGCTTAACAGCGATTTTTTGGGAACCAATTACAGTGGTGTCTCGCTTAACGAGCGCACCGTATAACGACGAAATCGCATAGCGATCTCTTTTTTGAGATCACTAATGCGATCGCTTACCGATGGCCTCTATGGCCAAAACTCGCATTGCGAAGATCGGTAAGCGTTTTACTTACCGATCTTCGCATTGCGACGCCAGGAAATCAGCTGTTCGGCGGCTCCAAAATGGCTGCCGAATGACCCAAAATGGCCACCGCAACTATTTTCATGCCCTGCCCTCGCTTACCAAGGGCGCGAAAATGGTGGCACTATGAGGAAACTTCGCTTAATGGTGAGTATAGAAGCCATTGGAATGCATTAAACTAAGTTTAATGCGTTCCAATGGCATTTTGCGTCCCGTTTAGCGATGTTTCCTCATAGCGAGGGTTAATCCGGAACGGATTAACCTCGCTATGCGGTGCACCACTGTATCATCGTTAAGTGAGGCACCACTGTATTTGTACTCGTGAATATGACTAGATGGCCAATACAGAAACCAAATACAGTGGTACCTCGCTTAACGGGCGCCCCGTTTAACGACGAAATTGCATAGCAATGAAGATATTGCAATCGCAAAAGCAATTGCATTGCGATGTTCCCTATGGGGAAAAATCGCTTTGCGATGATCGGTACCCTGTTTCGCTTACCGATCATCGCAAAGCGATGATTTTTTAACAGCTGATCGGTAGTTCCAAAATGGCCGCCCGCTGTGTTTTCGCCTGGATTCCTCGCTTACTGGGCAGTGAAAATGGCTGCCATATGGTGGATTTTCGCTTTAAGGTGAGTTTTAAGCCCATAGGAACGCATTAAACGGGTTTTAAAGCATTCCTATGGGCTTTTTAAAATCGCATAGTGACGAAATCTCTTTGCAGCGATTTTTACTGCACGGATTATCGTCACTATGTGAGGCACCACTGTAGACCACATAATTGGAATCAGGAGATGGAGAATCTGTATTCTCTCTGCTAAAACAAGACAGGAGCAGATTGTGCTACTGGATATGAACTGTTAACATCTAACCTCTAAGTAAAACAGATAGAACACTAAAAGAATCCTAGTGCCAAAATATAAAGTAAACAACAGATTTACATTACTAAACTCAGTAATGAACCAGAATTGTAGATTGAAATGAGATATTGGAGAAGACTGCAAAAAGAAATTCCTGTAGACCAAAATTGTGACTACAGAAGAATTACACAATTTTAATGTTGACAATGAACAAATTTAAATAGTGCAAGATTTTGTGTACCTTCACTCAGTCATCAATCCAAGTGGAACTTGTATCCAAGAAATCAGAAATATGAGACCTTGAAGAGCAATGAAGGAACTAGAAAAGATAATCAAGTGTAAGGGGTGTATCAATGAAAACCAAAACCAAGATTGTCCAAAATATTTTATTCCGGATCACAGTTGTGTGCAGTTGTGGAAGCAAGACAGCAAAGAAAGCTGATGGAGAGAAAAGTGAATTGTTTGAAATACAGAGTTGGACGAGAGCTTTGTGGATACCTTAGACTGCTAGAAAGACAAACAAATGGGGCCAAAACCAAATCGCTTAATGGCAATAACCCGTTCCAGGAAAATCGCCATTAAGCAAAAACATCGTAAAGCGAAAATAAAAACCCCACTGACAATGAGTTTTAAGCCCACTGGAACGCAATGAAAGGTTTTCAATGCGCTCCAATGGGCTTAAAACTCACCGTCCAGCGAAGATCCTCCATATGGTGGCCATTTTTGCTGCCTGTATAGCAAGGAATCAGTCCCTAAACACAGCGGGCAGCCATTTTATTTACCCGGTCGCCATTTTGAAATTGCCGATCAGCTGTTGAAAAATCATTGTTTTGTGAAGAATTGGTTCCCGAAGCAGGGAACCAATCATCGCAAAGCTAAATTCCCCCATTTAGACCATCGTTTTGCGATCACAAAAAGATTGTCGTAAAGCGGATTCGTCGTAATGCGGGACAATCGTAAAGCGAGGCACCACTGTATCTCTGAAGGCAAAAATTTTGAGACCGGTCTGTTCTACTTTAGAATCATAGAAAAGTGAAGTTGGAAGGGGCCTACAAGGCCATCAAGTCCAACTCCCTGCTCAGTGCAGGAATACAATCAAAGCATATCTGCCAGATGATTATCTGATTTTTTCTTGAATGCTTCCAGTGTTGGAGCACTCACCAACTCCTGAGATAAGTGGTTTCACTGTTGTACTGTTCTAACAGTTAGGAAGTTTTTCAACCAAAATGTGGCTTCCTTTAACTTGATCCCATTGCTGCGTGTCCTGCACTCCAGCATGATCGAGAACAGATCTTGCCCCTCCTCTGAATGACAACCTTTCAACCTATCACCCCCAGCCTTCTTTTCTCAAGGCTAAACATGCCCAATTCTTTCAGCCTTTCCTCACTGGGCTTTGTTTCCAGCTCCAATTTGTTAGCATCCTTCTTGAAGTGTGGTGTCCAGAACTAGACACAATACTCAAAGTGAGGCCTAACTAGTGCTGAATAGAGGGGGACTAACACCATGCGGGATTTGGAAGCTATACTTCTATTAATGCAGCCTAAAATAGCATTTGCCTTTCTTGTAGCCACATCACACTGTTGGCTGAGTATTAACAACAGTACAAAAGTGTTTACAGGAAAAATGCCTGAAGGGGCAGTTCCCTTTCCCTAGGGGGAAAAAAAGCCTAGTGAACTGAATTTACTTGCTGGCTATGGAATGGTTTCTCTCTTAGAAAGGAAACAAATAGCAAAGGGGTGGAGATGGAGTGAAATATCTTTGAAGAGAACATGGCTGGCTGAAATGCTAAACAAGAATGCACTGCAATAATATCTGTGATTTCTTTCATTGTATGTTTAGTATTCTTATAGCAGAAGAAGATCAAGACCTCAAAGAGAAAAGGCCATCTGTTACAAGTAACACGACCAAACAAGGAACATCTCTGACTCGGAGCCACAGTGTTGGTGGCCCACTGCAAAACATTGACCTTCTACAGAGGCTTTCTCATGGCGTTTCAACAGTTAGCCTTCCTAACTGTTTACAGGAGGCTGTGGTAAGTTCTCTGGCTGTTAACTTTCTGTTGCAAGCAGATGTGCCTTGACATCATTTGCTAGTTATAGATCATGTTCAGTAGTAATATTCCAGCATTTTTATTGCTTTTGGAAGAGAGTTTGTTTAGGAAGCCTTTTTTCCTCTCTTTTATATTGCACAAGAAACAGGTGAACATATATGTGCAGAATTTCCTTTTTATTTATGCAGTACCTTGCATCTCAGGTGATTATAGTTTCCACAGAAGGTTTAACTTTTCAGAAGACTTCCTTCAGGCTTTTTCCCTCTAGATGAAGAAAGATATAGAAAAATCTGTTAGTTCACATTTAGTCTGCATTATTGTGTGTGCACCACTATTAGGATTAAAACATCCTGGGGAATCCTTGGGCTTTTCTTTTCTTTTGTTTTTGACAGTAGCAGTGGAAAATCATCCATTATTGTTTGCAAACTAACCATTATCGATATTCTTCAGGATCCTTTGTCCAAAATGGCAAATCCTTTGCCTGTATCTGTGCCCTATTTGAGCCCATTGGTACTCCGGAAAGAGCTAGAATCTTTGTTGGAAAACGAGGGGGAACAAGTGATACACACTTCAACAATTCATCAATCAGCATCCCATTATTTTCTGGAATCTAGTGTGGTATTTCCGACGCCTAGACCTGCCTAGTAATTTGCCAGGGCTCATTTTAACCTCAGAACATTGTAATAAAGGTGTGCAGGTAAGTCCTGGACAGATACTTCAACATGCTGAATTTATTTGGTGAAATGTTCATTTCTGTAAAGATAAAGAAGACAATGTTCCAGCGTTTTTGTACCAATATCTTCTTCCTGTTAATTCCAGGAGGTACAAATACAATATCAAATGATTGTGTTTAATTGAAGTTTTACTTCCACTTCAAGTTAGATGTTCAAAATCATTACAGAAATGTAATGAATGCTGCAGAGTGTAACTGCAAGCTCTAAAAAGCAACTGGTTCTTTTCAGAATATTGAGGGGGAAATAGAACACAATCCAATCTGAGTTCTTGACTTATTCAGTAAAATAGTGAGAATGAAAAGTTTTTAACACTCAAGTTCTAGCTGTACATTCTTCCATGAGAGAGCATGGAGAGTGAGAAGTGAAAGACAAAATAGAGTTAGAATATGGTAAAAGCTCAGTCATGTAAGAAATAATATGATTTCCTGGAAATCCACACAGAAAATGCGGAACATTTAGCAAATACACTTTAAGTGGCAATTTTATAAGGTATTTCTGTTTAGAAATAGAATTGTTTGTTTTCCAACTCCTGGCATTCGTATAAAGACACCGGAGGTTGTGTGATTTGTGGCCTGTTTGTCTTTGTACATTTTTATGAATATGATTATGATTATGATTATTATTGTTGATGTTAGTTCTTCATGCTGTGGCCAAACACATTTTTCCCAATCCTTGTTAGATGTAAGCTGTCTCTTGCTAGCAGTCCTTCTTCCAGGAAACTAGGGCATATAATGAGGCAAGATTCCCTGGAAAATAAAATAATGTTGGGAAAACTTAAAGCTAGCGGGAAAAGATGAAGATTAACTATGAGATGGATTAATTCCCTAAAAGGAATTCATAGCCTTGAGTGTAGAAGAACTGAGCAGGGCTGTTTCCGAACAGGACATTCTGAAGATTGCTCATTCATAGTGTCACCATAAGTCCGAGAAGACTAGATGTTATATAACAACGATCTGTAGTTATTTATGGAGAGTCATCAAATAATTAATTACTTTTGCAAGCAGTTGGTCCAGAATAACAGCACTTATGTATTTATTTACGTTTATTTGTGCATTGCAATTATTCAAAAGGAGCTATCATAGTTACCTTCTAGTAGCCTTTAAAACACGTATTAGAATTCTCCGGAATGTGTCATGTGATACAAAACATACCTAAGCAAGGAAGCAATGCATCTTTGTGCCTAAAGAAATAACTCAAAGAATCACAGTTACACCACAGGAGGACTAAAATTACTGCATTTCTCCGTGTATAAAACGACCCAAAGTATAAAACGAACCCCCCCCCTTTTTTTCTAACCCTAAATTAGAAAAAGCAGGGATCAAAGGACTCCCTTTTTGCTAAGCCCGGTGCCTTGGCAAAAGGCAAGGAAAGAGGCTGTCAAAGTGACTGCCGCTTTTCCTCGCTTTTTGAGAAGGCATGGAGTTTAGAAAAAAGGGGGGCATTGCTCCCCTTCCTTTTTACTAACCTCCCTGCCTTCTCAAAAGGCGAGGGCGCGCTGAATTAGCAAAAAGAAAAGGAGTGTGATGGGAGTTGTAATCCCGCAAATGCGTTGCCCTCCTTGAGAAGTAGCAGCAGGCTTGCTAGGAGTGAA